ACATAATAAATAAAATATTTAAATGTATATAAATAAATAATTAATGAAAATTGGTCTGACAATTAGGATTATAAAAATACATTAGATATACCTCATATAATCGCAATTTTTGATGAATTGGTTTTGTCACATGTTGCAATACATCGAGCATAGTTTGCGCGGCATTGGGCAGATTCGGTAAAGCTTCTTGTTTTTGCGAACTCAAGGTATAAACCGCGGCGTGCATCAGAGTCGGCAGTAAGAGCTGCGCGATCTGGCCTATTCGCTTTGAACACAGGTAATGCAGAACCTTCTCTGCTTCTCGCGTGTCGTCGAACAATCGTTTCTGTCGGTGTGCGGGAACTGGCTGCGCCGACGCCCATGTAGTTGACCACGGATTATCAGGAATCATCATCCGCGGCGATAAAGAGCCTGTATTTAAAATTCAAAATATATTACAAGTGTTTAAAATAAAAAAATTATATTTTTACATATGTCAATTTCAAACTGATGGTTCTCGACATTTTTATTGAAAAAAATTGCTCAAATTGTCCAAATAAAAAGAATTTATTGTTAAAAAAAGAACATTCAATTTTTATGTAACCTTATGTTTTACTTTCAGCTTAAAATATCCTTGTAAACTTTTCATATCGCTATCAATTTTCGTGAGAAAGTTTCCTTAATGAAAAATAATTTTTAGAAAATCATTAAGAAAAAAAATTCATATGTTTCACATTAAAATATTATTTGATTTAAATAAGTTAATTTCAGAAATTTACATTTAAAATATTTTTTATATTGTATCACAGAAAGAGATACCAACCCTTTGCTTGTCCCCATTCATCAATATTCTCATTTTCGATCCAATCTCTCGGTGAATACCATCGAATGAAGTCCTCCAAGACCGCGCCAGGGTTTGCCGCCTGTGTAATATTATCAATTAATAAAAATAGATATACCTCATGAAATATATCGTCAGATTTAAAATTAACATATTATACGCACTTTGAAAGATTCCATGTCGGATAATAGGGACGCGCTCATCATTCGAGCCCTCATCTCAGATGCGTACTTGTCGGTACCGAGCTGCATCATCACCTGCGCGTCCTCCTCCAACTGATCCTCCGTTTTTGGTACAGGATCCTGTGTGATTGGTAGATAAAGAGGATCTCCAGTTTGAATCAACCTATACATCAATTTCCATTTTGTTGAGTTACAATATGTCTCTTCAAGCTTGTTTTCGAAATATTTAAATTTATCTCTACTAGACAAGATACAAGGAATACTAGCAACTATTAGTATTCTATATATTTTTATACTGATATATTAATATAAAATATAAAATAGTACATTAAAAAAATTTCATATATTTTCAAATGCTGCAATAATAATATTTTTTATTTTTTTCTACCTTCAATTAGTGAAGCCGAGATATTTCAACTTCTTAAATCGAGAAAAGATCTCTTTGATAATATCGCAAATAATTTTAGGCTTTAAGCAATCGACATAAATCTCGTCTAATTTGCGGTCGTAATTCATGAAAAAAAAAATCACCTGAGCGAAGGGTGTTTGGCTAATCTTCCCGCGGGTTTGTTCCACAGCAGGTGCTTCGCCTTCAGTTGCGGCTTTGTTGACGAAACCTCTTCGTTCGCCAATTCCTCGCTTGTGCACTCGAAAAATTCCTCTTCCTCTTCTGATTCTACGAATCAGATCGAGAATTTTTAAGACAATTATTTTCTTCGTCATTTTGCGTATATAACATAATTAAATCATCGAATCCTACCTGTCTCCTCTACATCTTCAATTTCTATACTCTGAGACCTGTGCGCGTTCTCCTCCCTTGCCTTTTTCCTGGTTATACAGCAATTCATCATCTGCGTGCACAAAACGTAAGAACAATGACAATGGGATTTTTACTTAGAGCGAGCATACAAGTTACATAAGTATTACATAAAATATTTGGCAATTCGCGTTACCTGTAATTTTTGATGCAGTAAGCACGTGCGAACGGAATCTGGAAAGCCAGGCCCGACTCTGAAACGAGATATGAAAACCGATTGTATATCGTGAAATAACGAGATTGTCTTCGAGAGCGAGTCTTTCATTTCATTGTCTTTCATTTTGGTGTCTGCTCCACAGCCGATCTCACGTGTCTGTATTTTCCTGCCAAGATGAACGCCTTTCTAAACGCTCCATCAAATGGCTATAATTATAAACTTGGTTTATATGGAAGGTGTTTTATGCATAAACTTGTTGATCGTAGATGCGTCTATAAATACAGGACAGAAAATCTTCGATTGGTGTTCGCGTGACGAAGAGATGTTGGACGCTGAAGTCAAACGGGTAGGTTTGTGGTGTCGGTCGTCGATTTAATAATCACTTGCCTCCCGCAAGCATAATTTCTACATTTTAACATCCACTCACGTAACGGTATTCCGTATTTCCCGCATATTCCGTATTTCCCGCATATTCCGTATTTCTGCAGTCGACGAGTTCATAGGAGATGAATATGTTGCATCCGCGTATCCTATTACCAGCATATAAACATTTAGCCGTGCTAATTCTATCTATTAAATCAATATTATTAGAATCACTGAAGTTGATTCCCGTGCATTAATAAAGTAATACAATTATAATTAGCGTTACAACTCTGCAATGTTGTATGAATTTATCTCTATTTTTAACTATTCTACATTCTCATATTTCATATATTTGTAACTGGGCAACAAGTTGAAGATAAAGAAGCAAATCTGATTTTTTTATCTCTCCTTAAGATTTCAATTTCTTAGAAACAAACTTTTTCCGCTTATTTCTTATTTTATTTTTAGAAAATGTAAAATATAATGAATCGATCGAAACATTCAAATAAATGAAAAATTTTTCACCAGACTTGACTCGGACGTGTTGATTACGACGATTTATCAAATCTTGCGATAGAAAATTAGGTTACGGTGCAATAGTAACGCATGCGAAACTAAAGACACAATTGCATCGACATTTGGAATATACGCAATGCGCTTACAAAATCTTGTCACGTGCAACTGCCTTGACGACGTGATAGCCGAGGAAGCAACAGGTGAATGACAACAGAAGAACTCATTCCCTTCGAAACGTTTTATTGTTTAAAAAAATATAGGAAAGTGTATCTAAACGTTCAGTTAAATTTAAATAATTTGATATCAAATCGTTTAATTATAATAATAAAAATGTTCAAGTTTTCTTTGTTTCAAAAAATTAAATATCAACTTCACATAAAATGACTTCACATAAAAGAAATTTGAAAACTTTAAAATTGTACTCATTTGACTGATGATTTGTATAATTTCTTCCCTTTTTCAGCAGATTTTTTACTTATCAGTTACTTATCAGTCACAATCAAAATAAAATATTAAAGAAAAAAATTTTTTATAATAATTAGAATTATATTTTTTTAAACATAAATTGAGACTATCAATAGACTAAAGTAAACAATTGTAAGGAAATGTTCAAGAATGCAGTTAGATAATTTTCATCGATTAAGATACAAATCCTTTTTATCACTACATTTTCATGCATATTTTTCTAATAATATAAATACATACACGCAAACTAATAATATTACATTTCACGAAATACATTCCTCGAGATGGATGTACAGAATGCTTTAAAACATCGTCGGTATTGTAAATTGATGCCCGGCATTGGATCTGGACACGGCTGGACTGCCGTCAAGGGTCAACTCCGCCCTCGACAAGGTTTTTCCGCCGTCGGCAAACCTCGTCAAGGCATTTATATTCTATCCGGCCCACGGGGGAGGCCTATCGCCGAAGACCCGATCGCCCTACCACTGCTGCCGCGATGCTGGCACGAGACAAGATTTCTACGGGGGCCGAGGACGGACGCGGCCGTGCTTGGTTCTCGCAGTCGACTTTAAGACCGCGATGCCGAGCTAACGGTGAAGAGAAGCCGGAGCAGCCTTCCACGTTCGCCGCCCGCGCGACTCGCGAGGTCCGTGCAGACAGTGCAGAATCCTGCGGTTCTTTCCTCCTTTCCTCTCCTTCTCTTTCCTCCCTTTCCTCATCCCTTGCGCGAAACATGATCGATTCGTAAGACGCCGGATTCCGTGGATTCCGGATACGCCTACGACGAAGGGTCGAGGGAAACGCTCGCTCACACGAGCGTTGCGTTTACGCACGGCAGCCAGGTGCATTCCCAGCGAGGTGCGGCCGGACTTCCTCCTCGGCACCATGGCCCAGAGTGCTCGTTCGTAGAGAAGAATACACGCAACTATGAGTGAGTAGTGGATATTCTCTTTCAACAAAAACTCGCGTGTCTCGAAAAGTGCGGGGACGAACAATCTCGTTTGACATCAGAATTTAGCAACTTTGTATCCTATACGTGAGAAGATGCGAAATCGGATATAACTTCTTTTACAATGTACCTTCGTCTTAATTTTATGTCAGGTATTACGATGTATAAAATTTGCATTAGAATCCTGATGAAAGATTTGCTGTGTTTATACAAATTCACACGAATCTACGAGTTGCTGAAACTTTTTGGGGAAGGAATTTTCTTACAAGTATAAGAAGGAAAAAACTGAGATTATATAATTTTAATGTAAATATTATCTTAATATCTTAATTTCATAAGCTTTAAGTACTATTTTTACAACGGACGAAAATTGAACTGCGCAGGAATTGAATACAAGTCATCGCTCATTTATATCCCGAATTTTCTTGGCTCATTAATAGTCACGTAACGGTATTATTAGTTCGCTCACGGTACCAGGAGAACTATCACTCCGCCGGATTACCTTAAGGCACGAGGCCAAATGAGGCCTGTATTCAAGAAGACGGGACGATTAAGTCCGGAAGCCTAATTTTTTGAAAGAAAATTTCTAAAGATCCAGAATTTAATGCTCGAGTGACATGATCAAATGAAACAAACGCGGATACATTTAGCCATACTAAAATTGACGTGTTTGCGCACTTCATTCAGCAAATTATTATATACTTTGTATCGCGAATTAGGTACAATTCTTTTTTAGTGTAAGAAAATTACTAAGTTGTAAAACGTGTTTTTCTCATAAGTGTGTAGCAAGTGTGTCGACATCGATAGGATATTAGATTTACTTTCCTCTACCTCTCGATGTTCAAGGAACGTTCGTTAGTCCGGCTTATTCTTTACAAACGCCAGTATTATGCTACTCTTGGAACTATAGCCACGTCGCGTGGTGGCGGACTCTTCGAAGGGTTAATGCACCTACGCGCGTATCTTACGGCTATCGTCTTCAACGTATACCGTTCGACCTTGAATCACACTATAGATACACGATGTACACGCTGTGGTACCTCCCATATCCAGGCAGGGTACCCGAATAGGTATGTATCGCTCAAAAAGTTGGCGTTTCACATTTAATAAGACGCAAAGTCAGCGAGATTCTTCAACAATGAGATAATACATGACATTATCGGAGAGATGTAAAATATTGATTTTTTTTATCAGATAGAATCCGAGAAATAATTGTATTTTTATATTACACACACACACACACGCGCGCGCGCGCGCGCGCGCGCGCGTTCAATTTTCGTGTGTATGTGCGTGCGCGCATGCTATTTGCATATAAATTAAATCAAGAAATAATATTAAATAGCAAACCCGACAAGATGAGGAAAGAGGCGGTATATATTACCGGCCTGATTCGAAAGGAGTTCTATAAACGTAATTCTGTTAGATATTTTTTTTATTTTTCTTGGTATCAGTATACGAAAAAAAAACAATTTTGCTGCAGGCTCTAAAAACCAGATCTGAAAATAATTTTGGGTCATCAAAATAATTATATAGAATTCAATTTGGTTACTGAAATATCAAAAATTATTGCAATATTATTATCATATTTGAGCGTTCCATATAATTAATTTGATGATCCAATAAAACTTTCAGATTTATATCTCATTAAATTTTTAATTCTTTAGCAAAATTCTTTCCGTATATTGGTCAATCACACATGTTCATTATACATAAATTAAGTAAACAAAACAATATACAAACAAGATATATATCGTAAATTTTTCGAGAAAAATAGTTTTTTTTTTAATCACAAGACTTCTCGTAACCCTGGAAAGAATAAAACGAAAAAATATTTTTATTGAAGCACAAACTCGTTCCGAATAATCCTATTAAACACTATGTAAAATCTTATAAAGTATTAATATTACGAGTTAGATTTTTATCTTCGAGTTTCTTATCAATCAAGTCAATTGTTTGTTCAATTTTATAATTAAGAACTTAGGAAGTAAATTATTTGTAAAATTCATCTTGGAATTCATTTGGTTGAAAATGATCATTTTTCAATTATAATAATCATTATCAAATCATAATCAAAATTTTTTTCATTCCTGCTTCTAAATTCTTTTCAATATCTCTCATTAGTCAAAAATAATAAATAAATAATATGACCACATTTAATTACATTAAAAACATCGCAAAGATCCTACACAAACATCGAAATCCTACACAAACTGTGAATTATCAATCATACTTTTTAAAAATCGCTAACTAAAATAGTGTTGTGTCGCGACAAATCGGAAAGCCGACAGCAAAATTTATAAGCAACTATAAGATATTAAAACTTTTGCGAAGCCATAAGAGGACGCGTAGAATTCCTTAGCATTGAAAAACTGCAAATAATACAGGTTTATCAAGGATCACGACATCATTGAGATGCTTTGCATAAAGCGAACGAGGCGTCTTGGAAAAGATAAATCTTCGCGATTCACATTTCTATTTCCTCGCTCGGTCGATTGACCAACTGATCGGCGACGATATCGCGAATCTGCGTCTTTGGATATCGCGATATCGCGAGAGAAAGGATAGAAAATGCGAAATTTATATGCACGATAAAAGGAATGGAATATAAACGAATGAAGACGAGAAGCAAGTTAACGAGAATAGGAAAAATCGGATAGCGTTACTTTACGGATTGCATACCCTCTATATGGTATTGCTAAATTATCAAGCGTGTTGTGCCGATCGTTCTGCGCGAGTAACAACATTACGTAAACGTTGCATAAGTGGACCGAGAAATATTTTTTATATAATGACACGTTACGGTAAAGTATATACGTAATGAAAATATATAACAATCTCCCCGATAACATTGCTAATTGGTGGCGCGTTTTCAAAAATCCGCGACCGACAGGAAATGCCCCCGCAATTTCTGTGCTCGACAGCTTCACATATTTGACGACATGACATTAAGTTCACTACGGCAATTAAACATTTTAAAATAGTTGATTAGATATAAAATATAATTAATTATTGCAAAATAAAACGTTCAATTAAACTTGAAATAATTTCGGTACGTCATTAAAATTTTGAATCTAAAAGTAAAACGTACGTATTCTATTGATTTTTAAGTATACCTTTGAAGAAACGATTTCGCGTAATGCGAAAGTCACAAAATATTCACGATACATTCCAGAAAATTAGCAAGGAACGATCATCCTTGGCTCTAGCATTCGCGCAATCGCGCATATTCCCTTCCGCGAAATGCGGAAAGTAAGTAATAAGTATTGTGAGACTCTATAACGGAAATTACTTTTAGCGGGAAACAGTTATTGAAATGTCTCGACACTTTCACATGCTAAATAATCGAACGTTTGAATTTTCGCTAAGTTCGAAAGCTCGCTAGGTTCAACGCACCGAGCGACTTTTGGGATCGCATGCGAGCGCAAACAACGTTAACCGTCACGGTCGGTTTGACGAGAAAAATCAGGGCGTATGGTAATGGCGTCTCCAGTCTCTGGCAACCATTACGGAGAAATTGCTGAGATTTACTCGCGAACCGGCCGACGAGCATGGCGATGGTGGTCCGTTTGTCCGCGAGCCGTGACCATCGGACCATGATGCTCTCCTGCCTCGATTCCCGCATCATCCCTCTTCTATTACTTGCACTTCCTACAGCCGTCACAATCGCCGAGATTCTGCTTAAGGTATCCCGATATATTATTTTGAACTGTTTACATTAGCAAAATATCTTTTATCAACTGTTGTTCTTAAGAAAAATATATATAAAAAGAACTGTGTTTCAGTTTGTATAATAATACAATAATAATAATAATAATAATAAAAAGAAATTAAATAATTCAATTATCTCGTGTAATTCAAACTAACAAAGAATAAAAAAATTTATTTCTACAACATGATTAAATGTATGTTTTTTTTATACGTTTATATAATTGTAAAATATTGAAAAGTATAATATATAGAATTAAAATAAATCAAATGAAAACTACATGTAAGTATAGTCTTAATGTTTTAAAACCGCAAATTGTCTAAACAAAATGGTCGTCATTATCGCGATAATAGATGTCAACTCATTTGTCGCTCTTTTAATGAGCTACAGCACTCTTTTCCGCCAATTGCAATTAAGTACACATTGTTCGCGTCTATCATTTGAACGTTAAAATATATGTTTGAACATAACACTCGGTCATTTTTTCCACGTTCTATCGTGACTCTTCGATAATTCCAATCGGGCGATGATTTAAATTATTACGAATCAACTTTCATTAGCATTCAATGGCTTATAATAATCGGTTAAAGAAAAACGTGTTGAACGTATAATTATTGTGGAAAGAATTTCAAAACAGGATCAAAAAGTTCCCATAATATAATCTGAATTGTTCATGTACAATCATATCAAAATTTCCAGTTTCCAAGAACATTGTTGTATCTCAATTTTATATCAATTTTTTATATTAAAGAAAACTCGAGATGATCAAATGATCTTTAATTGACTCAATCTCTAGCTAACTTCTAGTTAAATTAAAAAAAAAACCAAATGGTTCTAAAATATCATGTGTAATATAAGTGAACGCACGTTTTGCTATGTTTTGCGATTGCGTAGCAAGAGCCAACGGCTTTTCTATTGCGATCTTCGTGAGTTTTAACCACGAAGAAACCCTTCGAACGGCCGCAGGCCATCTGCGATCGGGTTTGCGTTTTAGAAAGGCACGTGCACCGGTGCACGGCACGACCGTGCCGTGGTCGCGTTTCTCGCATACTTCCTTTTTAAAAGTAACCACAGAAAACTTAATCGTTTAACGCAAAGCTCTCGTAGGGATTTCTCTTTTGCAGAACAACGAAAGCGGTGAGGACGGCATAAAAGTCTTGAAAATTGCTGAATGCAACGCGCAATTATGCTTGTTACTAAAATATTGTAAAATCTGAACATTGTATAGTATTACTATTATACAAATAACATATATAGACAATAACCGATTATCCCA